GATACTAAAGAAGAGCGTAACCTTTGGATGCAAAAGCTCAACCAAGTCCTTGTTGACCTTCGCATGTGGCAGCCTGATGCCTGCTACAAACCTATTGGAAAGCTTTAAACTCTGGAAGGGAAATACGAAGTAAACATGTATACCCACATGAACAACACAAAGAAAAAGAACTTAAATGAAAATGTGGGAAGTCCTCTGGGTCACTTATGCTTTAAATCTAAGAGAGTATTTAACATTATACAGGATTGTTATGCAGTATTTTTATTTCACGATAAGAATTTTAAAGCTTTTTTACTTCCTAGCTTTTGAGTATAATAGGAAGCAATCAGCTGTTTCTAAATGTGCTAAATATTTATGTAACTCCTCTTTTGGAAGTCTTTTTTAGCTACTTTAAACAGCTACATTATTGCAGGAAATCATACTTCAGGGCGGGAGGAGGGCAAGCTAGTGGAAAAACAAGCTTACAAGTTCCCTGAACAAAGCGATAGCTCAGAGCTCTAACAAGGATGATGCTGAAGTACAAGATTTAATATTGGAAGGTTTGTCAGGTGTTTTTTTTGTTTTGTTTTTTTTAAAATGATCAGGCTAGTAGATTTCATTCTATAACACGCAATATAAGTATTTTTTACTTGCACAGTGTTCTTGTGGTCAGAACAAAAGGCATGAACAGTATATGCATACTGCTTTTGCAATTTCTCATACAAACTGGTTTTGATAAGTGTATGGCATGTATCCTCTGGCTTACAGGTGTGGAATTACGTATGCAGTATATTGCACTTTGATAGAAAAGAAAGGGTTTGAATATTTTTGTTAGGAGTACTATGTTAAAAAAAATAGCTTTAGTATTGTATGCATCAGTATTTCATGGAACTCATGGTTTGTACAGGCTAGAATTCTCCTCCATTTAAAAACCAGGAATAAGTTCTAAAAGTGCTTTTGTTTTTTTTTAGTAAGACACTACAGAGCTGCTATGTACCAACTTAATACTCTGCTGGTTATGGGTCTCCCTCCCCATCAAAGACATGTCCATAAATGCAGATAAAAACATTACTTCAGACCCATCATTAAAATAGCAAAACTATTCAGTTAAAACCTGCAGTTTTCACAGCTTTTCACTGGGCTTCGTGAAATACTATCTCATTACTTCACTATTGTGAATGCAATTGTGGAGTACTTAAAATTGCTATTAATAAATTCACACTGGAAACACTAAATTCTGTTAGCTTATGCTGTTTTCATCTTGCCACTTTTGTACTTGCTTTTAAATCTAGTTTTCTATTTCTGATGTCTTTATTTCCAAACTGAGATTTATTTTATTCATTTAAAATAAAGAAGAAAACACTTTCTGCTTTTTTCATAATGTCATCTCTGCATTTGACACGCTGGTTTGTAGGCTGAAGAAGAAAAGCTGGACTCCACACAAAGTTTGAGAGCTTTTTATTCAGCATTTGTATCCCAAAATAACACTTGATTTGGGAAGATAATGTGCCTCAGAGGGAGCAGGCACCATATTCTTTAGTGGGAGACTAGATTGTGCATGGGCAGTTACTTGGGATGTATAAATGCAGAGGCTCCTGGAGACCAGCAGGCTACAAAGTATGGAGAGGAGAGGTGGTTCATGTATCTTGTGATAGGGATGTGGCAGCAGAGTAGCAATACAACATGGACAGTGGGAGATCAAATTTCATCTGTGGTTCCACAGTAGGCTGTCTACTTAAACTTCCAGGAGGATATTTAAAAAAAAATCATTAAATATAAAATTATGAAATGAGTCTATAGAAAAGTGTTAAGAATCAAACTGGATATATCTAGTAGAATGACAGATTGTTATTTAGCCCAAGTGAGTTATCCATTGTAGAAACCAGTCTGCTCATTAATTGCCCAAGATGAAAAATTATTCCCATCAAGGAAAGATATAAAGTGTAGCAGTTGATTCAAGTCAGAAAAGCTGGGGTGGATGGTGATTTCTAGACATAAGGGATCATTGCCAATGATGTCCACCACTGCAGCCAGCAGAAAGGTGTGACACTAGCTGAGCAGCAAGCCTGCATTTACTGCTTGACTGACTTGTCCTGCTTTGTACCTCCTCTCCCCACATTTCCCTGCTCTTTTAAGGGTCAGCTGTGGAAAAAATTTCCAAAATGTTGGCAAACCTGTTTTATCATGGTTGTAGTGGATCCTTTTTGAAGAGGCCAGCTTGCATGAATTCATATAGCTGTGGAGGTTTTATACCTCAAAAATAGTTTCTACTGTGATTTCAAACAAAGCTGAAAGTTTTGTAAAAACAGTTTATAAACAGAATAGCATCAGAAAATCCCAGCTTGTTAGTGGTGTGTTGGAACTAGTCAGTGACATAATCCCTCCTGTATTCACTTGCTGTAACTGTCCTCCAAAAAAGACCTAGATGGACTTCTAGAAATCTGTAGTGCTATAAAGCTTGAATTTCATGGAAGTATACTTAACTTTCTAAGAGAAACATTTTTCTCTTTGTTTTTCCTCTTCCCCATGCATTTGTCACTTTCAACTGATCTAAGCACCAGGAGACAGCTAAACTAATGGAATAGACTAGGATGCATAGATCACTGCTGCTTTAGAATAAGTAGCTTTTTCAGAAGCATTTGCTTAAACATAGGACCTTTATTTTTAGAGTGGTACTGGTAAGTGATTGATGGTTTGGGGGTGCAGATCTTTAGCTGGTTTTAGCATTCTTTGAAAAAAGAGAGAGAGATATAGTGGCTGTAAAAACAGATAGTTAATAGGCCCCAAATTCATCTTGATTTGCAAATAGTTACTGCATTAATTACAAATCAAGTTTCTGTATACAGCTTGCTTCTAACTCAACTGCAGAGCTTGCCTCTAAGGCATGAGGATGTCTGGTTTGGTTAGTGCTCCATCAGCCAGTGAGTGACAAGCCCTTTTCGTCAAGTTCCTCAGAGGCTCCATATCAAGCATGGAGCCAATACATTGGGAAAATCTGAGTGCTTTACTTTGAGATTCAGCTGCAGGGGTTTCAGGTTGTCTTTGAGAAGATGCTGTTCTAATTTTCTAAGAAAGCTTTTTTTCTTCCCATTGTTCATAAACTCAAGATGTTCACTAATGGGAAAGTCTGTAAATGGAAAATGCTTTGCTCTGAGCAATGAAGCTTATTTTAGCTGAGGAAATTTCAGTTTTACTAGCTTGTAAAACTCCTATTATTAAACTCCAGCCTCAAAAGAAAGACAATAATTTTCAATGAGATTGCCTGAAAAATTGGCTTCTTAAACACATACTGTTCCCCCTTTTAATTGCTACATTTCTGTATTTTGGTGTAGAGGAAATTATTTTATATTCTATAATTATTGCCTATGCTGTACTTGGTCTGTAGTAAAACCCCGTGGATGCACTTGTTTCTGTCCTTGTGTTGTTTTTAATGGAAGTTAGGAAACCTAAACAGGTAATAAAAATAGAAGATGTTCTACCTGGCCAATGTCCATCAAATGTTGTGCTGTTCGGTGGAGAAAATTTGTACAGAATGCAGGTAGCCCTACTACTTTTAATACTAAAGAGTCTTCCTAGGACATGTTTCTGTGCAGTTGAAACTATTCCTTGGGAGATAGGATATTTTGGTAACATCTAAATGCCTTGAATTAACTGGGGCCTTATTAGTAAGTATCATTCAATTAAGGAATTTATTCCCTTTTGGTTTCCTAATGTAGACAACTTGAACATTTTCTTAAATACTAGCAGTTATCCCCAAGGAATTTCTTTCTTAAAGATGCAGCATTGACTACTTTTAAGAAAAGAAAGAGGATCTAACAAAATGTTTTAGTTAAAATAGCATTAACTGAGTCATCCTCTGCCTGTTCAAAATACGGAGCAGATGAATTTCCTGCAGCCATGGCCAGTGAACTGAGGTCTGCACAGGGCCAGGCCATCTCCTTGAGTACCTGGACCACAGTCTAAGAGCTGGGTCACAGGTGATGCAGCCTTACACATAGGACACATTCAGAATGAAGAGCAGAGCAAGTCTACCTGAGCTTTGGCTAATTTGGATGGGTCTTACACATGTCATGTTAACACATTCTATCTACCAGAGTTTTCCATGTATAATTAGTGACAGTTTTTGCTGTCTGATCTGACTGGTGGGGCTGTTAGTAGGGTAGAGCTGTCCTTAATTATATATACTATATATTTACATAGGTTTTTTGTTTTGCAAAGAGCAGCAGATAACTGGTAAAAAAGCCTACTATTAATTCTCAGCTCTGCATATGAAATAGAGCACAGGGCTGTTCTCCACAAGCAGTAAGGGGTTCCTAGTTTCTTCATTGATTCCCTGGGTCATGCCTATAAAAGGTACAGGTCTGGGAATATTATGTTTGTTAGGAAGCAAAAGAGCAAAGATGTATAAAGCTTGAAAAAGCAGCTTGTTTTAAATACATGAAGCGTTGTCAAGTTACTATCTGGTTAATGGGGGCGAAGAGAAGCAGTCAGCCTGCACTAATGCTGCCAGGCAAATCAAAATTCTAGTGCCTCGTTATTTCTGGCACATTTTAATAAGCACATAGCAGTTAAATAATGTATTGACTGTCAGGGCAATTACATACACACAATTTATAGCAACATAATGAGTTTGGGGCTTCCCTCCCCTCTTTTGGGATCAGAGTCACCATTAAACCAGTATAAATGGAAAAGCCAGAATTGCTGCTCTGCAGCCAAAAAAAAATGAGGTAGGGCTAGGTGTTTGCTACAAAAAAAGACATAGAGATTTGCAAACCAGTACCAAAAGAATGGTCTAGCTGGCAGGTATCTTTTGTATTTTATTTTTATAGCTCTGCAGAAAAAGCATAGTCTACTTGTGGAGGTGAGATACAAATTGGAAATAATGCTGTTGTGTCATGTCCACCACTACTGGCTCTGGTAACTTGCCGTCCCCCTTCTTTGTATGTGTGTCTTTAATTGTTTTGTTTAATGCACTGGGAAGCATGACTGTAAACCATGTCAGGGCTCCAGCAGTTTGGAAGTCAGTGTCCACCTTGATCTTTGAATATAGCTTCAATCTGGTCATTGAATGGATTCTCCTTTCCAAGCACCTGAGGCCATTCGTGTAGAGCCTTCTGCCAGGTAATGCTTGTTCCAAGGGCTGCAGCAATCTGCAAAGAGCACAAACACTATCAATTTCTTGTGCCACTGCAATGTAGCTGCTTCATGCCAGTACTTGGAAGGCCCCATCAGAAAGAAGACTCCTGTATAACCATGTGCTGGACAGGAGCTTCTAACCAAAGAGAATACCACATTTCAGCTGCTTGAATGGGGCAAAATCCTTCTCAACTGTAAGAAAAAGGTGAGTGCCATGTATCTGCACCTCCTCAATCAGTCAGTGAGTGTAATAGTCTTCAATCACTTCCTAATGCTTATGATGCCTGGTCCATAAACTTTCACTCAAAAGCCCTAGAATCTGATTATTATTATTTTTTTCCAAAAAACCCAAACATTTTGAAAGTGTTTCAAAAGCACCACTTGTATATAATGCATAGAACTCTCACAAGCCCAAAGTAATTCAGGCTGCTGAATGCCTCTGATACTTCTAATAAATATTCTCTCTGTTATCCTATAAGGAAACCACTGGTGTTGAGCAAAAAGAGGCCCAATTATATCTAGGTTCAAAACTACCCAGCTCTGATGCTCTAAGTTCATACCTACTGCTGGTTGTCTTCAAAGCTTTTTTTCCATGAGACCTGCAGAAGTGGTAAAATAGATTTTCTCCTTGCTATTGGAACTACTCGAGCATTCCTAGAGTTTTTGTCCAAGAACTCATGCACTGAAGAGAAATTGTATCCACTATACTGCCAGGATAGGAAACATCAGGAAAGAGAGAACAGCCTGATTCTCCTTTAACCAACTTTTTCATACTGTGCTAACACATTTTTTATTTTATTTCTGATATGCAATTATGTTCTGCTTATATGGTAACTCCACTTTCAAGTCTAAAACTCGCCCTGACGTAAATTATATTTTTGAGGGTTAAATAGGGGCTAACAAAGCCTTTTTATTAAGGACCAAGATGGGTTTATGGAATCAAAGTATTTGAATACTGATGTTTTGGAGCTTGGGAACAGATTAGATCCTTTGGAGATTTTTTTCATGCACTTATTTATAAATCCTGTCTTTTTGGAAGCCACTGTAATGATGTGTCAGAAGACAGTAACTTTGTTTTATTCACAGCTAATGTACAGAGAGACATTTATAGGGTGGAAGCTCTTAAACTGGTCGTTTGAGGTTTTATTAAGCTAATGAAGGAAGAGGGCTAAGGGAGAGGGATGAGGAGATTGTGCAATAGTGTGTTTCACCCTATGGCTGCCAGAGGACTGAGACCTGTGTCAGAGTGGTCTGTTCTGGCATGATTGTCACCAAACCTTCTGTTCAAGTCTCTAAGCCTTCTGTATGTTTTTTTGGTAGATTTGGTTTGTTTGTTTAAAAAAAATCTTACAATCTTTGTGTGGTGCACCCTCTGCAAAAGTGTCAGTGGAAGTACGGTCTGCAGTGCTTGGGTTACTGTTGACTGGAGTTTAAGATGAATAGGCTTAGACTGGCCAAAATTATGTTGGTCCTGCTCAGATATAATTTAATGTGGTCCTGCTGACTTCAGTAATTTACCCTGGATAAGTAGTGTGGCACAGAGAGAGGGTTCATGATTCTAGAAATCACATAATCACAGAATCTTAGGGGTTGGAAGGGACCTCAGAAGATCATCTAGTCCAACCCCCCCTGCCAGAGCAGGGTCACCTAGAGCACATCACACAGGAATGTGTCCAGGTGGGTTTTTGAATGTCTCCAGTGAAGTAGACTCCACAGCCTCTCTGGGCAGCCTGTTCCAGTGCTCTCACAGGAAAGAAGTTCTTCCTGATATTCACATGAAATCACTTGTTTTGTAAGTGTTTTTTTAAATTTTATAGCACTTGTGCAAATTGTATCAGGTCTCAAAACACTTTTTTTTTTTGCAATTAATTTTTTGTGAGGATGACCACATATAAGCAATTTTTTTAAAGGAACTATTACACATTCATCCTAGAGCCCTGAGTGACCATGACTGGGAAATAGATGTGTTTTTTTCCAGCAGCTTCTGGCTATCTTTTTCTTCCTTCTGCACCAAAATGGTTATAGGCATGCCTTTTAGCAAAGTGTAAATACCCAATAATCTGATATGTGTTCCTTCAGCATTTCCTCTTTCTTTTCTTTTTTTTTTTTTAATTTTTTTTTTTTCCCCCTGGCTGGAATGTGCTTTGCTATGTCTTAAGGAAAGAGAAAAGGGAGAAGCTAATAACTTTCAAGCTGTGCTTTCCTGCTTGTACATAATCATTAAGAATCTTCCAAGCATCTCAGGTTCCAATCTGTGATGCTCAGGGCTTTAGCTTTCTCACTGGTAACTTCATAAAAGCAAGAAACAAAACTGTTCATGCAGGATTCTGTTGAAATGCATGGTCATGTCATCCAAACAAAGCAATCAGTTGTTCTAGAAAGCAGTAATGTCCTTCGAGCCATCTGGCACTCGGAATGGTTTGCAGTGATATTTCATAGTGAGAGAGAGATGCTGAAAAAAAGTCCCTGGGCTTCCACTGCAGTCAATGGGAAGAAAAAGTCAGATTTCTTCCAAGGATGACTAAGCCAGACTTTGAGGAACGGTGTCAGAGACAGCTCTACAGGGAATTTAGAAGGATTGAGTGATGCATTTTGCTTTCATGTGACAAAAGTAAATGGTGTGAATCTCCTCCACCTATGGCCTGAGCTGAGTGTTTTGGAAAAAAAGAACTAATGGAGCCCAATTTTAGCTTTGAAACTTCAGAGGAACGCAGTTATACCAAGAATAAATGTCTTTTTTGTAGCCTTCTGTTTTGCAACAGGTAAATACGCAGAATAAAAACCCTTTCTTGCCAAGATATTTGCTGTGAAGGAATATAGTTCTGGGCCTCGCTAAACAAGTGAGCACTTGGTTTTTATTCCTTCTTTTAGGGGGTTTAAAATATAAAATACTGCTTGGAGTGGGGGCTAGTTTTTCCTGACTGAGTGTCCTATCCTAGACTTCTTCCAATGCATGAAAAAACAGAACAGCTTTAATAGGACAAAGGGAGTTTTGCCTCATGCTGACACCTGTAGTCTAGAGAAGTCTGAGAAGGGTTCTTATTAATGTCTATAAATACCTGAAGGGTGGGTGTCAAGATGGAGAGGCCAATCTGTTTTCAGTTGTGTCCTGTGATAGGACAAGGGACAATGGATACAAACTGTAACACAGGAAGTTGCACCTCAACATGAGGAAAAACTTCTTTACTGTAAGGGTTATGGAGCACTGGAAAAAACTGCCCACAGAGTTTGTGGAGTCTCCTCCTCTGGAGACTTCCAAGGCCCATCTGGACGTATATCTCTGTCACCTGCCTTAGATTCTGTGGCAGTCCTGCTCTGGTAGGGGGCTGGAATCTATCACCTCCAGAAGTCCCTTCCAACCCTTACCATTCTGTGACACTTGCCTCTGCTATGTTTATACCAGAAGATTATTTTTTTATTAAAGAGACAGAAAATTAATGCAAGTGAAATCCAGGGGCTGACATCAGACACTGGCTTATCCTGAGAACTGGTGTATCATAACAACTAGGGATCACTGTATCCTTCCATTGGCAGAGAGGGGCACTGTGCTCCTTGTTTCCTAAAATCCAAAGTTTCTCCACATCTGAAGGGAAGAGCTAAAATGTTTACGCTTTCCTCAAGTGCTGCTCAATTGTTTATTTGTCAAGCTGTTTGTGAGGTGTGGGGAATAGCTGCTGAAGTGAGAGCCCCCATTTACTTGTTGAGCTGATGAGGACATCAATCCTCTCCCACTAGGCAGCTTCGTACCTGGCCAGCCCATACCTGGCCTGGGGCATTCATGTCATAAGTAGAAAGCACAACTTTAAATGAAACTAGTATGAATTGTTAATCATCTCTCTCAAGTGTCCTCTTAAATATTACTCTCTGCTCAGTCTTCCCCTTCTTTTTATTGACAGCCACTCTTTTGGAGCAGAGTGCTGTGTCTCAGCCCAAATAGTGGTATGTTGATAACCGGCTTCCATATACTAGCAGGAGAAGAAAAATGGGTTTAAAGGAGAAGATGTTTGGATAAGGCTAATTAATAAATCCTATAAGGGTAATAATTCACTTGAAGTGAGGCATATCTACAGCTGGCACCTTGAGTGTCAGGGGAAATGTACCTGTAAAGGCATTAATGTCATCCTAACAGCAGGAGGGGGGAGGCCACAACCACTGCAGGATGCCAGGTCCAGCGGGAGAGAAATATGGCAGCGCTTGGCTGGATCTTGCAGCTTGGCACCCTGGGGGCTGCATGTAGGTTTGCAGCTGCCCTTCAGTGCCCTTTTTTTGACTTAGGCATAATACCTTTAGGGTAAATATTTGCTGCCTTCAACTCTGTGCTCCCTTCCAGCTGTCAGAGGGATACATAATGTGGACAAGAGCCTGGATGAAAAGCAGTGATCAGATGATCTTCCTCCCACAGTGGCCTGTTGCTGGGTGTTATAAGAAGCTTTAGGCCAGCCTCAGGGTAAGACACAAAAATATTGCAAAGACCTTTTCTTCTTCACTCCAGGCTCTCACTATTGCATTTTCCCCAGATGGCAGTGGTGAGAAGGGGATTCATTTCATCACTGTTTTCACTCTTGCTTCTTTTGCCAAATTTTCTCTAATTGCTTCCTTGCAAAAGGAAGCAATTTTTGCCTGCAGCAAAAAATCCCAATGCACTTTTCATGTCCCCAGGCTGTGAGCTCAGACTTTCAGCACCTATCTCCTGGTACCGCACGGTAGCTAAGCAGGGATTTCTTCTGTGAAGGAGTCCCTCTTCAAACAGTAGGCTCTTTTGACTTGGCAAGGCTGAACAAGACACAGTATTGCTTTGGCTGAGAAGCATGGATGTAGAAAATAATAAGTAAAGCATGTATTTTGCCTTTGGGCTTCCTCTTGCCCTTCTCCACTGGCTCAAGTGACAGCCCAGTCAATGGGGAAGGTGATGAAATGTTGGAATCCACTAGTGCTTGCAACATGCTACTGCTGAAGTGTTTCTCCATGGACTGGTCTATCTTGGCATGCAAGAGAACATTGCATCAGGTTATTTGGTAGTGGGGGTGAATATAGGTGGTATGCCAGGTCACATCATAAAACTGGTTCAGAAATTCACCTTATGCTTTTGAGCAGGGGGACCTGCCAGGCGGCACTGTGGGTGGCTGGGTGACACAGCTGGGTTTGCTGGCATGGCTGGATCTGCTGGCACTTGTGTGTGTATGTGTGTAAGAGAGTGTGCAGCTGGAAGGGCTAAGGAAGGCAGTGGTGCCCTAGACAACAGCTTTCTCCGAATTGTTCTTGCTGCGGTACAGGGAATATGGCCATGGCACAAGGCATCATGCACTAGAAAGACATCACAAAGGATTGTCGCTCCTCCTCCCAGTCGCTGCTCCTGGGCAGGGATGCTGGGATTGGGGCTGGCCGCTTGGGGGCCACGTTTGCTTCATAGCCGCAAGTAGCAAGACAGTTCTGGATCTATTGCTGTGTACAGAGGGATAGAGAACAGCGGCTGGGGGCTCTGGGGCGGGGCCCCTCGGCGAGGGCGGA